ATATCATACTGCACCAATTCCATGACACCTTGCAGAACTATAAAATAATTATCTATGCTTCCAACTCCCAAAGACCAGGAGACAAGTCTTTAGTAGACAACATATGCAGTTCACCATGTAAGACAAGGTTGTAGACACTGCCTTTGTCAAACAGGTAGCATTTTAAAAGGGGATATGTGAGAGGTTAGAAGCTATTTGTCCAATTCTGAATATCAGAGTTTGGGGAAAACATTCTAGTGCCTGACAAAACAAATATAATGCAAATATTTTTAATTAAGTATATTTTTATAGCCACTGCCACCAGTATTCTTTTTCTGTCAGAATTCATTCCTGTGTGTCTTCCCTGGAATATTCCCTCTAATAACTTCAGTGCATATTCTCCCATTTAATTTTGCTGATTGCATTAAGGAGGGAGCCTATTTTGAGTTTATTCTTTCCCTACGGCATTCTGTGTTTTTGTTCATAAGATGGTTGGCTCTTCGCTTAATTTTCTATTTCCTTTAAACAACACATACCTTTTATGTAATATCGTAATTTTATCACCAATGTTATGCCAGTAACACATACCCAATTCTTTGGGCTATAATTATGTGACAGCATTCCGAAGACTGCCACCGTATCTCCTTCCTGTATCCTCAGTGTTGATGAATATTGGTGTTGTAAATAAAGTGGTTGAATTTCTCATGAGATAGTAGAAAGTTTTTTTCACTTTGGATAAGTTCTGGCTTCATCAACAAATATAAACTTCTCTAGGTTAGTTTTACTGCACACATAAAACTTGGTATCCCTTGTTTCATTTTGAGCGTTGGTAAGTCTAAAGACCTGGAAAGGTTTTCGCTGCATCTTGGGCAGGAAGATGCATAAGATTTGTTTTTGGGCTTTCTGGGTTTGTGAAAAGTCTCTATCAGCTTAAGTATAAAGGGTGAAAGTTATATTCAAATTGTTTGGTTAATTCATGGAATAAAATTTTTAGTACACTCCTATGTTAAGAATGTATCTGAGTGGCATGGCCCGCTCATTATCGATATAAACAGGTAATGCAGCACAGAATGCCAGCAAGTTGAGTGAAAAAGCTGGATGCTGTGGAAGGCAGGGCTTTGTTTCTGGAGTTGCTTTTGAGAGAAGCTTTCTAAAACTTGTGTGGAAGTTTATTGATGGAAGTAAACTGATGGCTTGATTGGATGGTAGTGGCTGTCCTTCCATCTCTGCATTTTCTCCCTTCTATATTGACCAAAGCCATGGAATGTGAAATGATTGCCTTAGATAGCAGAAAATGGAACCCAATCTTTTGCTGCATCTGACCTATAAACTTCTGTATTTTTCTTTGGGCTCTGTCTTGCTGTCGTGTGAACATGCTAATAGTATCGCTGACTGTCACAATATTGATCACCGTGACTACCTGTCTTGGAAACTGTGACATGAAGTGTCAGAGGCTCTGTGAACTCTTCTGCCTGAACAACCTAGTGATGCGAACGTCGGGAATCCGAGGCTTAGAATTACATGCTGGGTTTATGGAGCAGTTCTTGACAGATGGATTGAAGGGGGCGGTGCTAGCCATTCTGGAGGTCTGGCACATTGGCCTATTGTTTATAGAAAATATATTAAGGAGAAAAGATGATAAGTTATTAACTTTCTCTTCCTCCTTTCCACCTTCTTTCTTTCCAGCTTTTCCTTTTTCCTTTTCTTTTCTTGACTCCCCGATAATGTATTAGTGAATGATAAATGGCCAGTTTGTGAGACTTAGCCTTTTCTCAGAGCTTCAGATTAATGTTTCAAGATAATTAGCTGCATTTAAAGGTCTCCATGTGAATACTATGGAAAATATAAAAATGTTTATGCCAGTATAACCTTCATTAATGGCCAGCAGAAATCATGATTTGTTTGTTTAAAACACATAATAGTAGAAGTATAGGCTTACCTCCTGTGGAGACGGGAGGAGGCACCTTGTACAAGGGGCACTGAGAACTTTGATACCACATAGCTAGGATTTATAAAGTATGATGACTGTACTCTCTCACTGCCCACCGAGAACTGAGACACTGAAGCAGATCAGGGTCCTGCTGATGTTTATGTGAGTATTGGATTCCAGAACAGCAAGAAGAAACTACAGCAGGACTGGATCGTGGGACTTTAAAAGCCAACTAATGCACATAGCAACTCTCTTTAAAAGAGTGTACCTGACTGCACCTAAGGAGCGTCTCCACTGCAGAGCTCACCCAGCTTGAGAATCGTTTTTCAAACTGCAGTGATAGAATTTTAAGTGCCAGAGGCATCAGTGCTAACCCCACACCTTGATTTTTAAAAATTTTACACACGTCCACATGCACACAAACCACATGCTTGGTATTCTTCTAATCTGGTGAGCAGCAAGGAGTGCAGGGGTAAAGAATTTCCGAGCGGCACTGTGAAATACCACAGCCATCTTTCAAAAAAAAAACTTTACCCAGCTTATATGATGTGACTGCACAGCTCCTTCTCTGGCTCACTTAGTTTCTTCTTTTTCCTCATTCCACTCAAGGACTAATGTAAGTTTGTAAGTATTTTGAGCCAGGTATTTTCCCCCCAAGCTTACTTGGGCTTTGTTTCAGGCCGAGGGTGGGGGGGTGGGGAGTGGAGGAGAAGAACAGTTGTGAAATGCAGTGTGACTCACTTGACTCCCACTCTCCTGATTCTGGTTCTGATTGGCCTTCACCTTGCTCTAGCCATATGGCTGCAGAGTACTCTAGCCTGCATCCCCTGCTCGCTCCCTTTCCCTACTGTTCCCTTCTGTTGTACATCGCATTGAGAACAGGCTCTGGGCTTTGTCTCTGGCTGCTAGTTTACTTCAGTTAGGCAGTAAGTAGGAGAACACACTACTTCCTAAGGATGGCTGTAGAGGAGAAAAACACCCTTTCCTTTTGTGCCTGGTACAGTAATTATTTAGTTTCCTGTGCTGTGTTTGTTCAAAGTTTACTTTTTGGCAGGTGTCACATCTGTGTTGTATAATTTCCCCCGGTTTTTCTCTCCTCCCCCAGATTTGAGCTGTTTTTTGGTCAGGATTCTTGGAACCCGTTTCTCTGGCTGCTGATGCTGCACTTTAGCTAGTTTGTTAGTATGTTTAACGTCTGATGGGGAGGGGAACTGAAAGCAACTCTAAATAATTATTTGTTAAATGTCTAAATGTTCTGGCAGTCACTAAGCAATTAAATCTACATGTGAAACTCAAACTTATACCCAACACCACTGTCACTTCCCTTTCCTCCAAACTGCAGTGTTCAGTTACTCTGCTTCTTATGCTTGAGAAATAGAATTTTGAAGACGTGAAAGTTAATTTTTATAACCAGTTGATATTTTTGTTAATTTGTGTTTTTATTCCTCTGCAGATGGTTTCTACAAAGACTTTGGACTCTGCATCATTTTTTTTTTTTTTTTAAATATTTACTCAAAGAGGCAGTGCTAGCAGAGTATAAAGTATAACAGAATCACTTTTCTTTTTTTAATTGGTCTTTTGGTGGCATTTTTGTTGTCTGAAAAGAATAATAAAAACATTTTTAGACTCTCTCAAGGATGTATTTTGTATTGACTTAAAGGTTTTAAAAATCCATTTTTAAATAAATATTTTGTGAATATTTTACTGTTCGGATATGTTAAATAAGTTGCCCACAGGTTTGGATCTTTTGGAGAATATGTGCAATGAAAAAGAGTTGGTTAAAATCATAAGCAGGAATTTGAAAATCAGCCTGGCCCTTGTGGTTTCACTTAACCTTTTCTTTAAAGCTCTTTATTCACCTTCTTCTCCACTTATAATCTATATTAGAAAATAACAGTCTATTACCAGATTATAACAAACCTCAGCTGATGCACCCACTTGAAAGTGTAGAAGAGGAATGGTGCTTATACTTTCCTCCTGCCACTAGGGAATGAGAGTCAGAGCCAAGTCTGGCCCCAGATGGTTATTATATATTCTTTGAGCCATTTGCTGGTCTTCAGTTCTACCACTTTCCAGATTATGTGAAGAGAACAGCATATTTACTCAGCAGCATAGTTCTAGGTACAGAGGATATAGTTGTGGACAAAATAAATCCCTGTGCTCATGCAACAATAATACATGTTGAAATGTGTTATTATAGTAGTGAAGGTATCCAAATACACATTTGCTTAGATTGAACAAGGTCTAGAACATTTCAAGAAACCTTAATTTTAAATTTTCATACCATACAGCCAAATCCCTACTCTGCCTAAACAAATGTATACATTTTCACAGAACCTATCCCAACAAAAGAGTCCTGCTCATGAATTACACATTTTAATAATTTAGAATATCTGTTGCTTATATTACTGGGTTCAAGGTTTCTTCGTTTAAAAATCTGTTTAATGTTTTAAACTGGGATAGATACTTGATGTTTGATTAACAAAAATTAGTACGACTGGTTGCTGTGTGATCAGATGGGAAAAAAAATAATGGTTGACAGTCTATGCCAAGCACAGTTCTGAGTGCTTTACTTATATTAGCTCATTTGGAAGCTAAGGGGTAGATACTGTTAATCACCTCATTTTATAGAACAGGAAATTGAGGCACAGATAGGTTAAATAACTTGCCCAACATCGCACAGCTAGTAAGTAGCAAAACTGAAATTTGAATCGAGGCAGTATGGCTCCAGAGTCATGCTTTCACTACTGCCCTATACTGCCCTTCCAGCCTAGCATGCTAAGGTAATAATTGTTAAGAAACCAGAATGCTGTGTGATCTCCATTAGCTTTTCTTTTCATCTGTGTGCCTCAGTTTTCCTTTATACATAAAACGTTCCTTATGCTGTGAGTTTCATGTTAAACAGTAATGTCAATTATTAAGTGCTCTAAACTCCTCATATGTAGAATATATGTAAATTTTAGATGTAACTAGTTTTAGATAAAGCTAGTTAAAGAAAAAATGTCAGGGGCATATAATTGCTCCATATTTCTTTGCTGCTGATAGAACAATATCCTAACAGAGTTTCTTTCTTTTTGACTTCATTTGGTAGAAAAGAGTAGTTGAACAGCTACGGAAGAACCTGATAGTTAAGCAAGAACAACCAGACAAGTTCCAAATACAGCCATTGCCACAATCTGAAAACAAACTGCAAACAGCACAGCAGCAACCACTACAGCAACTGCAGCAACAACAGCAGTACCACCACCACCATGCGCAGCAGTCAGCTGCACCCTCTCCCAACTTGACTGCTTCACAGGTAAAGTGTGGGCAGAGCACTGCAGGCTTTACATTGAATATCGGCTTGTCATCAGTCATGTAGAAATAGGTCTTGTTTTAGAACTCTACTAATCTAGCACTAAACAAATATTATTTTGGTTGCCCTTTTACACTATAACTGTGATAAGAATCACTGGAAATTTATTAATAGAAGGAAATGACATTATTAAGGAACAAAAGTTAAATGATTTTCCTACCTGTCCAAAGAAGGGAGAAAGCTAGTCAGTGACAAAGAAAAAATCCTTCTTTGCATTAGAACAGAATTAAAGCCTTATTTTGAATGTCTAGAAGTATTTATTTGTTTTGATTCTAAAGGTCTGTGGGACTTGACCTCATCCAGAATTGTTTTTTGAAATTCTTAGCAATTAGGAATGGAGGTATTTCAGTATCAATGTCCATAGGACCAGGTAGAAAAACGCGATCAGAGGGTGATATATTTCCATTATTAATAGAAACAGTATATTCATTTGTAAGTCCATAGTCATGAGAATATGAATCTGTTCTAATACTTTGAAGGACATCTCAAATAGAAGCTACAGGTCAAAATTAGAATTAAGGGGTGGGAGCTAAATAACGTTCTAACTGGGTGTAGCTGTGTAAATGTTTTTACTGCAAAGGGCATTTTAAACTAGCCTATAGTGTAAGGATAGTGAGGCAATCAAGATACACAGAAAGGACATATTTGGGAATAGAAATGGCATTCAGTTAAGAAAACTATCTAGGCTTCATCTCCACACACTTACATGTAATATGAACATGGCTTTTAAAAACAGTTGAGCAGTGGTGTTGATCCTTGCGGTCACAGACCACTTTAAGACTCTGTTGAAAGCTGTGGATAACCTCTCCAGAAAAATACGCATTTACACCTATATACTCATTTTTGCCCATAGACTTAAGGACTTTGGAGTCATCTGCATGGACACCCCTTACCCAGCAACACTAAGTCTTTACTATATCTTTATATGTAGAGGAAAAGAGTATAGCTTACTTTATCATTGGCTGTTCATGAATATTGGGCTGGTTCATCAGTACATTTTGCAAGTGAATTATTTTTAAAATACTAAGTAGTATTTGTTAAATACTAAAGTTAGTTAACATTTACATAGTTTACTATATACCGGCTCTCCCCTAAGTGCTTTACATGTATAACATATGTAATCCTCACCCCAACTCTATGAGGAAGGTATTATTATTAGTATCTCTGTTTTTTAGAGGAGAACACTAACACACAGAGAGGTGAAGTAGTTTACCTAAGATCATATAGGTAGTATGTGGTACAGCCAATATTTGAACACAGATGTTCTGGCTGAAAAAAACTATCTATTCAGCCATTCTTCCATAGTGGCATACAATATCAAAAAGAAAAACAGCAAAGAGAAATCCCTGTTGTAAATCAGATAGCTAGAATTGCCTACATAATTTTTACCCTAATCCCCACCCCAAGAATATTTGCGTGAGGCATTCAAGCTGACTTTAAAAATCCCCTGAGCCTGACTTGTATTGCTTCTGAAAGATTGCTTATTAAGATTACTTTTATTGGAGTTTTAAACAGAGCTGGGTTAGGTTGTTCCTTTTCCAAAGTACAGTTTGATCACAAAGTGTTTACTTGAAGGAGTATGATAGAATTCTTTGTTTCCTGGTATATAGGAGTTGTCTCTCTTAACCCATGGAAAATTCCTATTCAAATAACATTCTGTTCAAGTAACATATATTAGAGAAAATAATAGTTAGTCCCTTCCCTGGTAGTCTGTGTACTGTGCTGCCTTGGGATGGTGCATGGGGAAGGGCCAGAGGCTGTCCCCCAAACAGTGTTGTATAGTGTCTCTCCATCTGGTAGCCCATCTGATATATTTAATTGCTTTAGCTAACCTTTGTTTTGTATTGTGTTTGTTTTTTTTTTTTTTTTGTCTAATGCAAATGTTTAATGTTAAAAGCCTCTAGTTGCTTTGTTTTGTGTTCTAAACTATCAATCAGTATTTATTGGATGTCCTCTACGAGCCAGATTCTGGTAAACAAAGAGATAGCAATACTCCCTGCCCTTGGGAGCCCTCGAATCTGGTACATTATGACACATACTTTTATTCATTCTGTAAATATTTATTGAGTCTCTACTACGTGCAAGTACTCTGCTAGGCAGTATGAAAGATGGACTCACAAGACAGAGTTTCTGTCTTCACAACTTTTTAAATGTAGAGAGGGAGATACAAACAGCTAGCAGAGAAGAATAAAATGGAAGTACTGGTAATGAGCTGTGAAAATACCAGAGGGTAGAGTAATTTTGACTAGAAGGATCAGAGAGCACTTCACAAAGGAGGGGCCATTTGAGCAGGGCCATGACAGATGAATGGGATTTCAGTGATGGAGCAGAGGGGGAAGAGCATTGCAGGTGTAGAGAACAGTATGAACAAAAGTATGGAGTCTAAAAAGTAAATGCATACCCTAGGAATAGCAAGTAAACTTGTGTGGCTAGAGCATGGATTCCGTTAAACAATAACAAGAGGGAGATAAGGCCAGCAAGGTAGGATGGAACTAGCTTGTGGAAGCCCTCCAATGCATGCCAAAACTTTTGAGTTTTTTGGTAATCAGAATGGGAGTCTGTCTGAGGCTGGGTTCTCTAGAAAAGCAAAACCAGTAAAGTGTATAAATATATATAGAGAGAGAGATTATATGAAGGAAACAGCTCATGCGATTGTAGAGGCTAGAATGTCCCAAGTCCATGGATCAGGGTAGAGGCCTCTCCCAAGTCACACAGCTGCAGAAGCTGGCAAGCCCAAGATCGGAAGGTCGGAGAACAGGGCTCCCACTCACAGGCTGTGCAGATGGATGAATCCCAGGTTCGGCAGATAAGCAGACAGCTCAAGTCCCAAGAATGGGAGATGAGACGACAGGAAGCAGCCGCAGGATCCAGAGAGAGCAAAAAGCCAGAACGTCTGCGTATATACAGATGCGGGCCACACCCCCAAGGAGACTCCCTTTCATCTGACTGGCTACTCACAGTATATTCAATCATGGGAGTGATTACATTAAAACACGGAGCATCATGGCCCAGCCAAGTTGACACACAATCTTAACCATCACAGAGTCATTAAAGGTTCATGAGGATGAGGACAAAGACAAGTGGGAGGTTGGATATGACATATGTTAAATATGTAAGTTCAGAAAGGAGTAACTATTAGGTAACAGAGTTTTTTACTCTAAACCCAGTGATTAGCAATGTACGTAGGCAATGAGGAAGTTTCATGTGGGGGGTGGAACAGTTTTCTTACTTAGTTAACTCTAACTCATGCATGTGTGCATATTTTGAAATGTTTCCAACCTATAGAGAAAGCGAAAGAATAGAACAGTTGAATACAGGTATACCCTTCAACCTATATTCACACCTCCCTCATTTTTATTGATGTAATGCAAATGTAAAGGAGAGTGCAGTTAATGAAACCAAACAGAAAATAAACCCCTAGAGAAAAAAAGGGAGTTTGTTTTTGTTATTTGAGTGTACAACAGTGACTTCCCGTTCAAAATTAAAAGAACATAAAAACAACCTAAAATGGATGTGGAGGTTAATTAGAGCCCATAGTAACAATCCTTTTTAAGTACAGTACTGCTTTGTACATTGGAGTCCATCTCTTTTACTGTCAGTAGCTCTTGCTTTGCAGGTAAACAACAACAATAACTTAACTAAATATTGAAAAGGGTTTTTCTATTAGTGTTTCTTGCCATGTATTTCTCCATTAACTCCCAGCAAGTTGAGTTTTGGGTTTTAAAGAACCCCTTCATGAAACTGTGGGGAAACTACCACTTTCTCCTGAAGGTGTTTATACTTGCACATTGTCAGCTAGCCAAGGACTAATCACAGCTTCCATAAAAATAATTTTCTTTGTTGTCAGACACCTTTTCTCTGTGTGTCTTCTCCTCCTGCCAGTACAGTTCAGGCATTTTCATTAGGCTTAGTTTTCAAAGTCCTAGATTGCCTTCGCCGTCTAAATGCCAACACTCCATGAATTTGGTTTTTGTTCCCTAATACTTGGGATAAAATACAGACCAGATTAAGGGTAAAGATCTAAGCAATACCTGTGACTTGGTGTCAATAAGTAGTTTAATAAAGATACTGTGCAGAAAGTTTTCATTGAAGCATATAGTCCTAGGTCCTCCTGTACCTATGTACTATTCAAAAAGTTTTATAGATTCTAGATTTTTTTAGTGAAATTAGTTTAGTCACAGCTAAATATTTGTAAAGTAGAATAAAAATGCTAAACTAAGATGTGAACAAGCTTGTTAGGTATCAGTGTTTTTTAAGTCTTAGGGTTAATGGTAAGTATATAATTCAGGTGAGTTTGAGGTTTTATTAGCTGTTTTCTAGAATAATCACTTCAGGGTTACTTAAAATACTGATAATGAATTTACCTGAAATAAGGAATGTTTCAAACAAGAATATGTTGACCTCTTTTAAAGCAGTGACGACATGCACAGCTGTTTTTACAGTCCATGTCAGTGAGTTCTGCTGACTAGAGCTTTCCTTCCACAACCTGTGGTGGCACCAGGATTGAATGCCATCTGGTGTGACTTGCTCACTGTTTCAGAAGTTCTTTGTATTTAAATGTCTTAAATTGAAAGATAGTGCTAATATCACACTGTGTTTAAAAAACACTTCATTGAAGTTTTTTTGTTAAAAGAAAAATGAAAGATGTTTAAAGATTAGATAACGTGTGTTTGGAAATATTTAATCTAGAACCAAATACACAGTCACTTACATAGACATGGAGATAGAAATTCACAAAGTTGTCAAAATCTGTTTCTGAAAAAGTGGGGTGCTTTTCACGGTCTAGAGCAATGCAATTCAGTAGAACTTTCTGCGGTGTTGGAAATGTTCTTTATCTCTGCTATCCAATTTGGTAGTCACTAGCAACATGTGGCTATTGGGGATTTAAATGTGGCTAGTGCAACTGAGGAGCTCTGGTGGTTTGATTAAGAGCTCAGCTGCTAACCAAGAGGTCAGCAGATTGAATCCACCAACCACTCCTTGGAAACCCTATGGGGCGGTTCTACTCTGTCCTATAGGGTAGGAGTGGGAATAGACTCGATGGCAACAGGGTAGTGCATCTGAAGAACTGAAGTTTTCATTTTAATTTGTTATAATTAATTTAAATATAAATAACCACATCTGGCTAGCAAATTGGACATCACAAGAAGAAAAAGATTGGTTATTATCAAAATCAGAACTGACAAGTTGGAATAGATAAATTTTCATGTTCCTGAAATGTCTGTATCTTTAGTGACTAGTAGCACCAGATAGATGTATATTCTACGTAATAAGGCTATTTGTATTATTTGTAACTGACTCCTTTAAATACTGGAGTAAAAAGTTTAGAAGATTACAGCTTCAGAGCTACAGTAGCATTTAGGGAGCATTGTCAAATCCTGTCACCTCAGTTCATCCTCTCATCTCTAAGAATTTTTGAAACGCAGGTGTTTATTTCCACCTTGTCATGTTTTACTGGATCTTTGGTAATTTCTACAGCAGTTCTCCAGAGAAAAGATTATAGGTGGTGACTCATGTCCCTTTGGTATCAAGAACTGATACTTGCTAAACCAGTTGGTTAATATGTTTCATTATCTGGAGTTTGGGATTTACTACCTCTGAGGCAGCAGTTAATGCTAATCCTCCTGTGAATTTCCCTTCCTCCTCTCCAGGGTGATAACTCAAAAAATGAAAAGACACTGTCCCTTTACCCTAGCATTTGTGTCACAGAAGGTAGAGAACTAGAATTAAATGATAACTTTCTTCATATTAAGAGGTTGAAGCAGTTAAGGATAGAGATGATGTGTGCCCTATTGATTTGCAGCTTTTATAAAGTTTCTTAATTGAGACTAAAGAATTAGAAGGAACAGAAGAAATAGGTACACACATACTCTGTACACCCACCCTATTTATTGTTGAAAACCTTGTGCCCATAGTAGTCTACAGTTATCACTGTGAACTAACTTGCCCATTTATTAACGAAGCTAAATTTGAGAACTCTAGCAAATGAGGGATTGCCTTTCCCTATAGTAAGAAGTGTGCTCTGTGTACACAAAAGAAATGCTATTGTAGAGAGAAACTTGATTAATTATGAGAATTATTGCTTTATTTATTTCTGGGGTTTAGCAGCATATTGTTAAGTGGGATCACACTTTGATGTCCTAATACCTGTTCTCCATGTTTCCTAGAAGACTGTAACTACAGCTTCTATGATTACCACAAAGACACTACCTCTCGTCTTGAAAGCAGCAACTGCGACCATGCCTGCCTCTGTTGTGGGCCAGAGACCTACCATTGCTATGGTGACCGCCATCAACAGTCAGAAGGCTGTGCTCAGCACTGATGTGCAGAACACACCAGTCAACCTCCAGACGTCTAGTAAGGTCACTGGGCCTGGGGCAGAGGCTGTCCAAATTGTGGCAAAAAACACAGTCACTCTGGTAAGCCAGCAGCTGCTACTCATGTGTGCCCACATGAGAGGGTTCAGGGTATGCGTTTGTAGAATATTTCCATTTAAACTCCTGCTGGATTTCTCAGCTTCCCTCACTCTCCTGCCATACCAAATTCCCCTTCAGTGCTGACGGGAGACTCTGGCATTGCTACCATCTGCTTAAATAACTATGGAGCTGTCCTGATTCTAAGGACCAAAACTCATTTAGTGGATTGTTTGAGGTCGAAGTGTGACCTGACTTTAGGGGAACAAATGTCCTTCACAGAGGCATACACACTGTTTATCTTTCCTTCCATTCTTTCCACAGTCCTCCCTGTGAAACCTGAGTACTTAAATTCTCTTGTGCTGTATTACTGCTTTGGGGAAATCTCCCTGTTAAATTCTTTTAATTCACTATTCGTTTAAGGTGCTTACACCCAGAAAGTACTGGAGTTGATTGGGGGACTTTCAAAATATTCAAGAAACGCTGTCCAAGGTCTATCAGAAAAAAGATTCTTGGAGGAGGAAGTACTTGAACAAACAAATTGTTCCTGAGATTTCTAGGGTAAAGCCATTTAGAAACTGAGGTTCTCTAAAGCTTGGGGGAAATATATCTAATTTTTGAATTAAAATTCCATTCTTAAATGGCAGCTAAGTGCTCTTGGTGGCTTTTGAATGATGCCCAGTGATGAGTGAAACTAGAGAGCAATAAAGTGAAGCTTCACCACTTACCCAGGAATCCTTAGAGTAACAACCAGATAACTCAGCCAGATGCTAAGAGTTAGGAAATTCTCTATAGGAATAAAGCTGTTCACTGTTAGATAAAGCTCTCACATTAGGAAAAAGCCCATTTGGCCGGGCAGCAAGTCTGATTTTACTTTGGATCCAGTATTGACTTTTAAAATATGTAAGTGCGAGAGTTCTTGAATGTCAGAGGAATTTGACGAAGATTGCTGAGGCTGTTACGTTTTGCATTAGGTGTGTAAGGAGACAAATGTAGTTGGTTTACATTGCAGGTAAAGCATGCAGGTGGGAGAGTAAAAAAGTTTCTTAATGCAGTGTTAATTCAGATAATTAGTTCTACAGTGGAAGCTTATAGAAAATATTGTCTGATCCAGAGAATAGTGATGCTGAAAATACTTTTAACAGTGCCTGGCTTTGATACTGAACAACTGGTTTTCCTCTCTGGTTTATTTGTCTTTCTCATTTTTTAGCAGGTTCAGGCAACACCTCCTCAGCCCATCAAAGTACCACAGTTTATTCCCCCTCCCAGACTCACTCCACGTCCAAACTTTCTTCCACAGGTAAGTAAACCAGTGACAAGTCCAATGGTGGGTCATGTGGGACAAAATCCTCTTGGGCCTTTTTCTACGTAGCTGTGATGGAGATTGTCAGGTCAGCTATATTCAGATCCCACTTAGCTAAAATTCTGGCTGCTAATTTCCATACTGCAAAGAAGCTTATTTTATCATCAGGGTTTCTTAGCGTTGACCAAAGGCAGTAGCAGGGGGAAATGAGGAAAAGGGAAATTACCTGGATTTAAAACAATTGCAATAACACCATTATAAACCTTATAATGTTAATCTACTAGAAGAATTTAGCCAAAACCTGCCTGGTAGTAGAGAACGCATACAATGACCACTTTTTATTCTTTCCTATATACCAAAGAGAGTAGGGAGGAAAACAGCAGCCAAACTAACCAGTAGAAACCATTGTGTTCTACTGTGGAAAGTGATGGCATAAAGCATCATATTTAAGCACAAAGCCTTGTCTATAAAGACGAGGGGAAGTCCTACCTAGGCCCAAGTAGCTCTGCTTGCCCATATCTTCTGAGGGTATTCTTCTGGCAATTTGGCTGCACTCACCATTCTCATGGAAGAATGTCAGAATTGCCCCAGTCTGGACCTTGAGGGTGGCATGCGTGATAGAGAGGCTGGGAGTTCCCATCTGGGGCACCAGATTTCAGCTGAAGAGAGAAGACAAAGGAATTTTGTGGTCAGTGGCATAAGTAATTTCTGAATAGCCTCTGGGGAGGGGATGGGCAGTGCTGACATGAGGTAAGATGATTTTAGTCATTCATCAGATAAATCTCTAATAAAATATCTTCTAGGTATCAGATACTATGCTAAGCACTATAGATATGCTAGTTTTCAAGATAGACAGTTCTGTGCCCTCAGCAAAGTCTGGTGGTTGTTTCAGACACATATTGAGGCAATCACAGTACCTGTTATAGGAAGCACAGGGTAGTTTGAGAATACATAGGAAGGACATCCAACCCAGTCTTAAGAGGATTTGAGGTTTCCTTGAAGAGTCAACACCTAACTTGGGACCTAAAACTCTAGTAAAGTTAGCCTGAGAGTTTTAGAGGAAGAATAGAAATGTTCCAGGCAGAGGGCAGAGCATATATCAGGTCTGGGATAGAGAAACATATGCAAGTTTAAGGAACCAAAGATTTACTATGGCTGAGCAGAGCGGGCCATATGGCTAACTCAGGCTAGAGTAAGAGATGAGGCTGGATGACTGGGACCAGAGCCTGGGGAACTGTGTGGAGCCTATGTTTAAGAATTTGAGTCTTATTCTAAGAGCAGTGAGGATCCATTAAAGAGTTTCAAACAGGCACTTGACATGATTAGATTTACATTTTTGAAAATTTCTTCTTGCCACTGTGTAGATTGGAGATGGTCAAGACTGTGGACAGAAAGAACAGTTAGGATATTGTCAACAATGCTAATAGCTAATGTTTAGAGAATCTTGCCACGTGCCAGGTACTGTGGTAGGCACTTTACATGGATTATCTTATTTAGTCTTGACAACAACCTTATGAAAGTGGATTTTACTCTTTTTTAGATAAGGAATCTAAGGCTTAATCCATGTTTTTCAAGTGGTGGGTAATGACCTATTAGTAGGCTATGAAATCAATTTAGCAGATTATAATGAGAGTTTTTAAATAAAGTGAATAAAACAGGATAGGAAAGATTTGAGCAAATAGAACATAAGTACGGTTTCATGAAGTTATTGTTTTACAGAGATAGAGATATATGTGTGTACTGGTTACAGTATAAAATATATTTCCTGCCATGAGTCTGCAGCACCTACCACAGGGACATTTTAGATTCAGCTAAACATTTAGACTCACAAGACTGTCATGGGCTGCTATACTTGGCACCAGTCTACTTAGAATTGTATAGGTCAGAAATCACAGCTTGCCAGCAGGGCAGCATCAGACATTCCTCTTCAGCGGGAGTCCTTACAGCAGCCCATATAGCAATCTGTACAGCCGTCCAGGGATAGCTCAGGTACACGGAGCAGAGATCTTTATCAGGAGGGTTTGAGAGCCACCCTGACATAGAAGCCTTATGCCCCACAGGAGCTAGTATATCTTGTAGCAATTCCATAAACATGGCTTTCAGTCTCGCAATGGAGATGCCTAGTTACCAGAGTCACTCCACTCCGGATGCCCAAAGCATGGCATCTCATCAAGTATTTATAATACTTCTAGTCTAGATTTGATGTTCCAGTCAGGAGTCATTTTTACCATAAGCAATGTTGCCTAGTAACATAGTTGACATTCTTACCCGTATCAGGTTTCCAGGGGAACAGAGCTAGAGAGTTAACTAAAGGCCAGATTCTCATGCATAAGGGGAAAGGGTTTTGCCCACGGGGTGACAGTCCAGAAAGTTTAAAAACACTGGCTTAGAGAGATCTGGTAAGTTGCTTGAGGTTACACAGCTAGTTAATTGGTAGAGCCGGGATTTGAACCCACAAGGCTGACCCCATGTTTTTAACCACAGTTTTCTGCTGCTCTTTCAGTAAGCTGAACATAAGCTAGGGCAGTGGCAGTGAGAATAGAAAGAAGTAGGCAGATTTGAGAAATATTTAGGAAGTAGAGGTAGAGTAGGAAAAGTCAAGGATGATTCTGAGGTTTATAGGAGGAAGGAAAGGCTGGAGGAGAAATTGATGAGTTTTAGACATGCTGATTTTGAACTTCTTATGAGAAGTCCAAGTAGAGATGTCTAACAGGCAGTGAATGTGATTCTGAAGTTCAGGAAATGTCTCTGGTCCAGAGATAACCGTGTGGAAGTCTAAAGTGCATAGATGATAATTGAAGCCATGAGACGAGTGAGAGCTCCCGGGAAGAGTACATTAGGAAGAAATGGGCTTCCATGACAAAATCCTGAGAAACATGCCTATTTGGAATTGGGCAGAGTAAGAATAAGCCCACAAAGGAGACTTAAGAGAAGGAGTACCAAGAACAGGGAGTTCGGGGGCCAGAAATGGGGGTGAACTGGAGCAATGGATGTGAAGAAATTTAGAATGTGTATTAAGGCCATTAGCAGCATTATTACCATACTGGGCACAAATCCTGGGTGGGACCAGTCTCTGGATTAGGCCATTCATCCAGTTCCTTTCCCTCAGCCTGAAGAGGCAGCATGGTATGTGAGAGGGAGTTGAAGGTGTAGAATCAGAAGAACTGTGTTCTAGAACCTTTACCAAAGAGGACATCCAAGCAGCCAACATATGAAGAGATGTTCAGGATCAGTAGCCATCAGAGATGCGAATCAAAACTACAACGAGATACCATCTTACCCACGCTAAAATGGCACTGATAAAAGACAGATTAACAGCAAATGTTGATGAGGATGTGGGTCAGTTGAAACCCTTATCCATTGTTGGTGGGACTGTAAAATAGTACAACCATTATGGAAAACAGTGTAGCACTTTCTCAGAAAACTAGAAATAGAACTATCCTGTGATCCAGTAGTACCACTCCTAGGTATATACCCTCAAAACCAAAAAACCAAACCAGTTGCTGACGAGTCAATTCCAACTTATAGTGACCCTATAGGACAGAGTAGAGCTGCCCCATAGTTTCCAAGGAGAGGCTGGTGGATTCGAACTGCCAGCCTTTTGGTTAGCAGCCAAGCTCTTAACTACTGTGCCACCAGGGCTCTGTTATATACCCTAAAGACCTAAAAATCATGACACAAACAGACATACGCACACCTATGTTCGTTGCTGCTTTATTCACAATAGCAAATAAATGGAACCAATTGAAGTGCCCATTAACGGATAAATGGATAAGCAAATTATATGGTACTTACAGTGGAATACTATGCAACCATAAAGAACAATGATGAGTCCGCAGAACATAACATAGGTGGACATGGAGGGCATAATGCTAAGTGAACTAAATCAAGCATATAAGGATAAATATCATAGGACCCCTCTTTCATAAGAAGATATGAGTAGATAGATAGAGAGAGACCAATGTTCATTGGTGGTTACCAGAGAGAAGGTGGAGTGGGGAAAGTACACTTTATACCTTAGACTAGTTTTTTTTGGTGATGGGAAAAGTGGCATCGAATGTGAATGTAGTGAGCACAGCACAACCAAGTAATAACAAGTGTTTGAGTACATGTGGATGGATATAGGCAAATTGGTATACAGGTAGGTACAGATGTGTACATAGGTGAGAACAGATAGAAGTATGTATAAAACCAAAAAAAACCCACTTTTTTTGTCAAGTCGATTCCAACTCGTAGCAACATTACAGGACAGAGTAGAACTGCCCCATAGGATTTCCAAGGCTGTAAATGTTTACAGAAGCAGACTGCCACATCGTTCTCCCACGGAGCAGCAGGTAGGTTCAAACTGCCAGCCTTTTGGTTAGTAGCCTAGCACTTTAACCATGCGCCACCAGGGCTCCTAGAAATATCTATAAAAAAACCAAAAACCCATTGCCGTCAAGTCAATTCCCACTCATAGCAACTCTGTAGTTATATCTAAATACAAATAATATACGGATGCAGGGACATATATTCATTGAAGACACAAACATGGATACTCCTCAGACGTAACCAGATACCTTCCAACATTGATTTTCTGGGTTTGAGGGCTTAGGACCATAGTCTCATGGGAAAACTCAGTCATTTGGCATAACATAGTTCACAAAAATCATGGTCGCCATCCTAGTGAAATGAGTAGCATCTGGGGTCTTAAAGTTTGCAAGCAGCCATCTAAGATACTACTATGGGTCTCTGCTTGCCAACAGCAAAACAGTAAGAAGGTAACCAAAAACATAGAGAAGAAACAAGTCTACATGAGCAATAACCTCATCTACGCTGTGACCAGAAGAACTGGATGGTGCCCAGCTACCACCACTGACCATTCTGACCGGGGTCATAATAGTTGGTCCCAGATAGAATGGGAGGAAATTATGGAGCAGAACTCAAATTCTTAATTAAAAA